CCCCAAAACCCCAAAACCCCAAAACCCCACAGCTGCGAAATAATTAATACATTCAAAAGTCAGAGAGAGATAGAATAAATATAAATTTTGTATGATTTCGATAAAATATTTAAATAATAAAGTTAGTTCAAGATCTGACAGCCTATCCCATTCCGTTACTAAGAGCAGCCACAATTTTATTTCTTTTTAAAGTTGCTTTGAATTGTCTATTTGATATTTATCTTATACTCTAAAAATAAATAAGTCAACTAAGGGCTTAATACCTTTAAGAATTCTTAGAGATTCATCTAATCCTTTTCATAGGCTTTTTTGAGAGCGACCAAGCAGTCCTCAAATGCAGATTCCTTTGCTGTCAAGTCAATTATCCTACATTTCATTACATTTACTTATTTTATTTTACTTATCTGAGTATGCTGAGCTTGGATAAACGTAGGAGTTAATGTTTTCCTCATTAATTTCATGTGAAGATCCCTGTTCTGTAACAAATTAGCTTAATTTCTGATTATGATGATTCAAAGCAGCTATGTTTTATTCAAGCATACCCTAATTAATATTAATGGTAAAGTCTAAATGCTTACACTGTTTTATCTTAAACTTTCAAGTTTGTCATCAATAGCTCTTTTATTTTCATAAAGCTAAACTTTGGCTTCAATCAATTTATTAAGAGTCTAAGTTGCATTAGCTGCATACTCTCCTCCATATCTATCAATCTTTTCTAACAACTCTTCAGCTTGAGATGTCATTTAAGAACCACCAAAATTATAGTTAGCAGCTCCATAGTTTTATCCAGCAACGTTTTGCTGACCATACGGCTATTACTACTGTTGCTGTTAGTATGGTTAAGGCTGAACCTATTATTAGGGAAAGCTGCCTCCATAGTTATTCATCATTGCAGCATTCAATCCTTACTCAACTGGTGGATCATTAGTCAAAATACCTACAATATAACCCATCAAATCAACCAAATTTGATTTTTATTATGCACTATTTGTCCAGCTGTTAAGATAGGGAATCTTAAAAGCATTCATCTATCCAAGATATGTCTTTGACTATAGCAACTTAATTGATATTTGCATATCTAGGAAGACTCTAGGAGGATGGAAAGGGAAGCCTTAAGGGATAACTATCTTAAGCGGGAAAGTATTAAAGGGTTAAGGGGATGCTTAGCATTATACAGCACCTTTCAAAACAATAAAATTCTGACGGATCTCACCAGGAAATTCTATGATAAGTTATATATGATTCATTTATTACCCAATTGCTCGACTAATGGTCTAAATTAGCCATATCTAGTGATAAAGCTACTTATTTACTCGTTCACGACTCCCCTAATTATATAAATTTATATATTTTACTGAGTATTGCCATATGAAACATATTTATAGCAATTTTAGAGCTCGAAGTGAGGATTATAATTTGGAATCATTTTTAAAATACTTTATAATGATTGCTAATATATAATTATTATCAAATTCTTTAAATTTCGATATAAATGAGTCTTAACAGTCGACCTAAAATTAAAACATTGAACTTAGATGCTCTTATAAAGAACAATAATAAGCATACCTAACCCTCTACGAAATATGATCAAAGATCACAGTAACTCTCAAATAGTACTATAGATTAAGCTCCATATTATGGATATAATATTGATGAACCAGAAATATTGAACATTAAATGAAAAAAGGATAATCTTAATTCCAGTCAAAACAATATCGTCAATAATGATTCTGTATCCATTCCAAGCAAATTCTAATAGAATTAGAATGGTCAGAACAATTAGTAGCATGATAAGAGTAAGACACTAATAAACTTTGGATCTCAGATATCTTCAATGGCTTAGGTTTAAAATGCTAATAAGTTTTCCAGAGATGACAATGGCTATTACCCAGGTAATAGCGTCAATGAAGCCAAATACTCAACACAACCTGCGAGTAACGATTACATTGAGAGTTTTTATGGTCAAAGAAGTCTCAATGAGAATCAATCAAATACTGGAGCAAACTACTTTAGTAATGATTAATCATAATAGCAAAGAGAGATGTACAAAATATCATTTGGAAAAACTATACACTAATAAAATAATCCTAGAGACGATAATACAGCTACGCACTAATAAATATTGAGGAATGCGAACTAATCTGCATCTGAATATCTTAATTAGTCAGACAGTGGAAGTTAAGAAAACATGTCTTCAGCTTAATAGCTTTAAAGAAATCCTGATTTATCCCAAGATACTCAGATATTAAATGACTATGGAATCAATAACATCAGAGATACAAGCTCCAAAAATATTTTAAAGATTAATAATAAAGCTATCAACTTTAAAGTAGCTGACATTATATAGGTATAGATAAGTAATTTTGACCAGATGATACAAATTCTAAGCTATGGTTCTAATAACCCTCAAGATGTAATTGACATTCTGTGGATTATTTCTCATTCTCTAAAGTAAAGTAAAGTAATGCTTTCTTATTTAATTTTTTAGGATAAAATTGTATAGCTCTATTGAGGAAAAATCGGCTAGGGTAATCTAATTCTCTCTTGATGGCCTTATTTAATGTGATAAAAAAGTGGTAGCAAAATGAGGAAATACTTAACTTAGGTTTGAGATGCTTGACCACAATAACTTTGGTTGAAAAATTGAGAACAGACGGTTATCATAATTTGATTGAGTTTCTATTTGATTTGGCAACAAAAACTATCTCTTAAACAGATTAAAAATTTCTTATATATGATGAAATAAAGGTAAACTCCCTCAGAGTGATCTCTAATTTCTAGCCATAAATGGAAAATGTAAGTTTTAGATCTACTAATATGTCATTTAGGAAATATTGGATAAGCTTTTTGTCCACATAAAATTGATAAAGATTATCGAAAAGTCTGAAAGTGAACTTATAATGGCTCTTGGACTTAGAGTCCTATGCAATATATCTTCTATCAAAGTAGCTCATCAGTAATTAGCTGATCTTAAAATTTTGTATCCGATTTTCAATAACTTACAAAACTAAGGAGAGTATCAAAATCAGATAAAGAAATATTGCCTTGGATTTTTGCATAATATGCTCTATCTGAGTTAAAATTTCAAACAAATGATTACTGAGCTTGGACTAATTCACTATATAAAAATGGATCTTTCTATTCATGTGAATTCTAGCTTAGGATTGAGCAAGGATGAGACAAGTATTGTTTAGCTGATGATCTCGATATTGGGGCATTTAGCAGATAAGACCCCAACCATTTCTGCTTTGATAGGGGAGCTTAAACTACTGCCAATAATTTAAGGATACTTAAATATTACATCTGCTATGAGTTAAAAGCAAATACATATTGAGACATTCAGATGTGTCATTTAATCACTAATGAATTTATGCCAAATAGAGGCTAATAAGTAAGCTTAATCTTTTTTATTAAACAATATAATAGATTGAGAATTCTAAGAGAGAAATCTTTTCTTTTGCAATTTCAATGAATGATCAACTTAAAAATTTAAGATTCTTTCAAGATCTAGGTTTTGGATATTATTGTGTTACTCTCATCTTCATAGTAAGCTTTATTACTCTTGAATGGGATTTAGTGAGAATATAATATACTTAGTAGAGAGCAATCTAGTGTTCGACATCATTTTAATACTTCTGAATACGACAAATGAATCTTTAATAATCAAAATAGTAAAATTTATCAAACTAGTTCACACATCTGGTCATGATAAGTTAATTGCTAATTATCGTTTTGGATAAAATTAGTATAACATTTATGATTTGCTCAATCTGGTTCTTCAAATTAATATTGATGAAAGAATTCAAATAGCAATTAACAAAGTCATTAAAATTCTTTAGAAAGATGTGATGCAACTCATTAATCCGCCAAAAGATTAGATTGACTATGGGTTACTTAGATTATTGAAAGATAAATCGAAAGCGTACAAAGAATCTCTAGAGTAGTTGAGAATTCAATATTATTAAAAGATAAGAGAGTTTCTTCAAGAAGATGAGATACAGTAGAGTGCAGCAAAATAACCAGTTCAAGTGGCAAATATGTCAGAGTAAATAAAAAAATTAGTTGCAAGGCCTTTATCATAGATCGGAAACCGAAGAAATATTTCAAAATACAAGGATAATGTCTACCTTAAAACTAGTGCTTTTAACCATCCTAGTTAAGAAAAAAAGAATTATATTACTCTCAATAAGACTATTAAACCCGTTGAGAAAAAAGATAATAATATCCAAAATCAAAGTCTGAAATTATAAAAACTAGCATAAAGAGAATCCCCGAAGATCAAAGATAATATTCAAGCAAGGAGCAGTTCAGTTCCAAAGACAATAAATTCTAGAGCAATAGCTACATAATAGATCAATAAATAAATGATAAACTAGAGTAATACAACGGAATTGTCGAAATAAAATCTAAATTAGACTCAAGAAGTCACAATAAATATTAAAACTCCAAAAAGGGCATAATCTTCCTATAAAATTAGACCTAAAATTAAACTCTTTAATCCAACTTTAAAGAATGAAAATTCAATCTAAAATCATAACAAATCTAATAGCTCTGTAAAAATTGAATTAGAATAATAAAATAATGATCCTAAATAAATGCTAATGATAAGATAATTTAATACTGAACAATAAAATGATAATAATTCAAAAAATTCCCTGTAAATTCCAAGTCTGAGAAATTTTAATAACAACAATCTTAAAGGAATTTCTCCTATTTCAGAAGAAAAGATTTCACCTCCAAAATTCAAGGACAATTTAAAGATTATAAATAGTAGATAAATGAATTTAAATTAGACTAATCATACAGTCCTAGAAGACTTTAAAAAGCCAGCTAATTATAAAATTCAAAGACCTCTGACATCTCATGAGAATCAAAATATCATTAGGAATTTCAATCCACAACTTTAGATATTAAATACACGAAATTATAATGAGTAAAAAGGCTAGCTAGTTGATTTCAATAAAATAAATCAAAACATTGATTCATCTATAGCTTCATTAGGTCCTCAAGGGTAAAATAATAATTATCATGATAGCCTATTGATGGCATCAGCTTTTAGCAATTTTGTTGATACACCTTAAAACATTAATAGCTTTGCTTAGCTGAATGAGACTTTGAATCCATCATCAATAGAGTTTAAGCTTAGACAATTGCCCTAATTACCAAATCTCTAGTTAGAATAAGTATAAGATGATGAGTTGACATTCTTCGAAAAAAATTTAGAAGTAGAGATAAATGATAAATCAGCATAAGCTTCTAAACTTCTGAGACATTAATTAGGAATAGGTATGCCAGAGGCTACTGGCTTATACAAAGTTACCAAAAAATCCACAATTTATGATTTAGTTTTTTGGGTATTCAGCGATATTAATATCTAAATGCCAGACTAAGAGTTAATATACGTAATTCAACAGAAGACTAAACTTATTTAGTTTTCAATTGGGAGTCCATCTAGAACAATAAAACTAATATCTATACTAATTAGATTAGCTTTCGATTCTAAACAAATTAAAAGTGAAATAACTAAGTTAAAGTTAAGAAGTGACATGAAATTTTTCTATAAAATATAACAATTAATTGTAAATAACTTTTGAATTTCTTTCACTAATTCAATGCATCTAAATTTATACGGGGTTTTGGGGTTTTGGGGTTTTGGGG